GCCTATCCCCATACTGAGTTGGAGGGAAGGCAGCAGCAGCAGCAGCAGCAGCAGAAATATATTGACGGCGAAGTTGTCTGCTGCTGTGGCTTTCTGGTGATCCTGCTGCTGTATTTGCTGCAGCAGTTCTTGCTGCTGCTGCTGCTGCACCTGCAGCAGCTTCTACTCTTGCTGCTGCTGCTGCTGCTTGTACAACTTCTTCATCCCCAACAGCAGGGATAGACTGCATATTAACGGCATTGTCTTCTTCTTCTTCCTCTTCTGCTGCTGCTGCTTCTGCTGCTGCTGCTTCTGCTGCTGCTGCTTCTGCTGCTGCTGCTTCTGCTGCTGCTGCTTCTGCTGCTTGCTTCTGTGCTTCTGCTGCTGCATGCCATGATATTGCTGCTGCTGTCTGCAGGGGAGAAGATCTATGACCACCAGCAGCAGCAGCAGGAATACACACCGTGAATCCACGCCTATTCCTTCTACCTTTAGGCATCCTCAATCGCTGCTGCTGCTGCTGCTGCTGCTGTTGCTGCTGCTGTTGGTGCTGCTGCTGTTGCTGCTGTTGTTGTTTATGATTCAGGAAGCAGATGTGCTAGCTGCTGCAGGCATATGTCTCCACACTGTTGCTGCAGCAGATCGGTTTTTGCTGCTGCTGCTGCTGCTCTTGTCTCAGCTGCCTTGAGGAGTTGCTGCTGCCGCTGCAGTTGCTGCAGAGGAGTCCCTGCTTTTGCTGCCGTTGTTGTTTCTGTTCCTGCTGTTGCTGCTGCTGCTGCCTCTGCTGCTGCTAATACTTGTGAATCTTGTTGCATGCGTTCTGCAACAGCAGATGTACAAAGACGCTCACAACGCTGCCAGCAAGACACGAGCTGCTGCAGCTGCTGCGGCTGCTGCTGCTGCTCGAGTGTATCTGCAGCTTTATTAGAGAAAATGTGCATTGCGCTATTTGCTGCACTTTAGTAAGAAATGCATGCGAATAAATAATTCATAAAAAATACACAAAAAAGACAGCAAACTATATATACAATAAATAATACCCTGACAACATAAATAACATAAATTGCTGCCTCCTAATGCTGCTGCTGTTGCTGCTGCTGCTGCTGCTATTTTTGTTGCGACTGTTGCTGCGAGGGGCCCTCCGTTCCCTGCGCAGCAGAGGGTCCTACAAACAAATCTATAGAAATCCTTAAATAGTAAACCCTAAACCCTAAACCCTAAACCCTAAATTATTAAAGAAGGAGAGAAATATCAACAAGAAGACCGCAAGATGGAGGTCAGGTTGAGGGGAAGAAGAAGACGTCAATTGAGGTGTACAGACAGCTAAAATAGACTATAAAATATAGCGAATAAGAAGAGAAATATAATAATATAAATTAAAAAAGAATTAATTCATCATATAATAAATACTACAATATTAAATATAAACTTACTAATAGGGCAACAAGAACAGCAGCAACAGCAGCAACAGCAGCAGCGTAACGTTAATAACAGTTAACTGCTGCTGCTGCTGCTGCTGCTGCTACGCTGCACACTGCATGCGGTGTATAGTTACTGCGCATTGTGTCTGCAGGCAGCAAATGTTTGCTGATGTCTTTTTTTCTTCATTTATTTTTTCTTCTTTTGTTTATTTTAATTAAAAATATAAATAAAATTAATTAAAGGTTACTTACCATCATATCCGCATGCACTATCTGTCCAATGGCTACAGCCCGTTGTTGTTCGCAGCAGGCAATTCAGTAGGACAGAAGAAGCAGCAGCAGCAGCAGCAGCAACAGCAGCAGCAGCAGCAGCAACAGTAGCAGCAGCAACAGCAGCAGCAGCAGCAACAGTAGCAGCAGCAGCAGCAGCGACAGTAGCAGCAGCAGCAGGATTGGTACAATAGCAGCAGCTGGAGCAGCAGATTGTATGATCATAGAGAAGGTTGGACTATCTCCCTAATCTACAACAACTACGGTGTCTGCCGCTGCAGATGCTGCAGCAGCTGCAGCAGCAGCAGCAGCAGCAGCAATTGTCCTGACAAGCAGCAAGCAGCAGCAAGAAGGTTTTGCCGATGCGGGAGCCACTCTTAGAATCGGAAGACAGCAGCTGCAACAACCATAACAGATGCAGCAGCAGCAGCAGCAGCAATAACAGGAGCAGCAGCAGCAGCAACAACAGCATCAACAACAGCACCAACAGGAACAACAACAACAGCTACAGCATCAGCAGCAGCAACAACAACAATAATATACGTTGCTGCAGCAGCAGCAAACATAGAGGATTATGTATAGCATTATCTACAGGTATTTGTTTATTATTATTATTAACAATGTTCTTACAAGAGACATGGGGACAATATAATCCTCCTCCTCCTCCTGAGGAAAAAGAAGCAGCAGCAGCAGCAGCAACAGCAGCAGAAGCAGCAGGTGGTGCTGCAGTATCTACAGCAGCAGCAGCAGCTGATGCTGCTTCTTATATACCATTATCTCCTGTATCTAGTCCGCATGCACTGCATGCACTGCAGCAAACTGCTGCTGCTGCACTAAGAGGAGAAGAAGAAGGAAGAATAAATAATCTAAGGGGATTTATTTTATTAAATATAATTAATCATGGATTATTATTAATGCTTAAAGAAAAAATTAATAAATATAAACAAGTTGTACATACACCCCAAGGAGATAAGATTGGATACTTACAATTACCTGGTGGGCATGCAGATTGGACAGATTTCCCTGCTGCTAGACAACGATTTATCCAGCAGCAGCAGCAGCAGCAGCAGCAGCAGGGGGAGAAGGTAGAGGAGAAAGGAGGGGATTTAGTCTTTTGTGGTCATACTATTGATATACAACGCATGCAGCATGCTGTTGCTGCTGCTATAGAGGAACGTGTACAGCAGCAGCATGAGCAGCAGCCACAGCTGCAGCGGGAACATTTGCTGCAGCAGCAGCTGCTGCTGCAGGAATGGGCACGTATAGGTGCTGTAAGAGAGTTATTGGAGGAGACGGGGATCGATTTACGTCACGATCCCGATCTCCTCCTCCCTCTCCCTCCTATCTATGGTAAACGTGTTGCTGCTTTCTTCTTCCTGCTGCAGCTGCAGCTTCCTGCTGCTGCTATGATAACAGAAGGAGGAGGAAGAGGAGATGATGATAATGTTGCTGCTGCTGCTGTTGCTGCTAATGATGATGATGTTGATGCAGCTAATAAGGATAATAAACATAAAAAAAGTCCTTATGTTACTCAGGGGCCCCTAGGGGCCCCCTCTACTCACCCTCTTATGCTGCGTATAGACCACAGAGAGCATGCGGGCTTCGTGCTGCAGCCAGACTTAGAGAAAGCAGCAGAAGATGTTCAATACCATTCAGGAGGACGAGCTAGTAGGGCTGTTATGCAGTTATTAACACTTATAAAGAAGGAAAGATAAGCTATATATATAGATATAGATACAATAAGAATATTACTATATATTATGATGATTATAGAGGGAAAAAATAAAAAAATATGAATATATTCAATTTCTTGTTTTTCTTACTGTAGGGGATGCCCAATTCTTGTTGTTTTCTCTTGTATTACACTCTTATTAGATGCTATTCAACTCTTCTTTTTTTTTTGCAGTGAGCGCTGTTGCTCTCCTCTTGCGCTGTTCAACTTTTTTGTACAGTAATGCGACGGGCGCTCCCTATGAGGGAATGACGGCTGTTTATAATAATAATAATAATAGTAATAATAATGCCATATAGTAAGGCATTATAAACACCGTCACAACGCTATAAAGTCGCGAATTTTTGTTTTTTTTGGCCGGGAAGGCTCCACAAACGTACTTGCCCTTATATCTTCTTGTTCGCCTCTAGATATGAACAGGCAAGGAGAGGAGAAACCCAGGGAAAAAACACATTTTAGTGTAGGTTTTCGAGTATTTACGGTAAAATAAATCATTTTATTTAGCAGTGAATGTTTTTTAGCAAAATCCAAACATGAAATGTTCATGAAAAACGAGTTGTTTCCTCTTGCGCCGATGGAGGTGCAGATACACCCGAACAGCGGACAATGGAAAGCTGTGCGATTAGCACTGTTTTCATGTTTATTTTGTCTGCATTTTTGTTTAAATGCACAGATAATGCTTGTATCCTTCAGAATATTATAAAACGAACTTAGGAGGTGGTCATTTACCCCTCATTTACCGATGTGTTTCTACTCACGCATAATGGTGTGTCGGTACCAACGTGCAGAAACATGAAACACGAATCATCTTTTCTTCAGGGAATATAACGTTTTTTACTCTCCGCACAACAGCAGGTGCTGGTAGATTGGGCCTCTAACAGCCTCTACTACCTATGCAGCAGATTTCCCCTCATTTTTATCGAGGGGTTAAGCAGATTTCTTCTGCATTGCGCGTACGTCTTCTTAAGAGCCAAACATTCAACAGTCACTTCCCTCCAATCTTCATTTCGCATGCATTCCCAAAAGCCGCCGCCATTCTTCATACAAGGGGAATTCTGCATAAAAGACACAGAAGAAGAAATTCATACAAGTCATCAATAAGGAAAAAAAAACAGTAAAAAAAGGAGGAACACCTTATAAATCGACACAGTACAGTACAGGGAAGAACACCATAATCATTAATAAGCAAAAAGTCCATAAGATTATTTATAGGGTAAGAACAACAACAACTTGCCTGCATACAAGCAGCAAGGTCGTTTTTTATTCTTGTGCAAGAGTTGGAGGCCTCGCGATGCTCAGCCTCAGGACCAACAGGGAGAGACATTCCGCCTAAAACATTCCAAACCCTCAAAACCCTAAACCCTAAACCCTAAACCCTAAACCCCAATTCCTATAAGCGGCAAGGAGTATGAAGGGCCAGTCAACCGTAAGAGCATTGAATAAAGGCAAGAAGTGAGTATGGTTAGTATAACTTTTCCCTTTTCCTCTCCCTGTACAACTTACCAATTAATTAATCCTTTCTTAGTAGATTTCTTTTGCCTGTTGAGCCAACAAAAAGAAGAGAAAAAAGTGCTAACTATACAGCAACAAACGGCATAAGCGAAGAAGACAAATCTAACACTAAGAAGCAGCATAAATCAGCAAAATAACAGCAACAGGCACAAGAAAAAAGACTAAAGGTGGTAAAAAAACAAAAAAAAGAAAGAGAGAAGGGAAAGAAAGAAAATAAAGAAGAAAACAAACAAACAAGCACGAATTGAGCTCGTCAAGCTTGCTAAGAAGTAAGCAAGGAAGAAGAGGTAACGATGAATCTGTATTTTTTACTAAAATACCTTTTAATTAATAATTTTGTTTTTTATTGAAATATAAATTAAAAAAGCAAATTAAATTGCATTTCTTCATTGGCTGTTTGCTTGATTTAAGACGAAAGACAGCTGTGGCTGAAAGAAGAGGCAAGTTAGGGTTTAGGGTTTAGGGTTTAAGGTTTACAGAAAAAAGATTTATCCTTCAATTATTTAATTACTATATTAATCTTTATTCTTTTCTTGTTGAGCAGTCATTGGTGTTGTTATACCCCTTCACAGCCACAGGGGGGCCCCACCAGCGGCCCTGTTATAACAACCCCCGAGGGTTTAGGGTTTAGGGTTTAGGGTTTAGAGATTAAGCTTCAGTGTTCTAAAGAAAAGCTTTGTATACATGAATTTTCATTAGGGTTTAGCCCAATTAAAGGAAAAGAGCAAACGTGTTAGATCATCGGCTACACCATGGGGGGTTTAGGGTTGTTTGTAGGGTTTATACGAGGGTTTAGGGTTTAGGGTTTAGTACACTTCCACAAGATCGGCTTCTTGAAGGAAATTTTCTCAGCAAATTGAACACAGGAGATTTGATCTCCAGTGTACAGAGAGCTACAACTCAAAAACCCTAAACCCTAAACCCTAATTGCTCGAAATGGCGCCAGACGATGATGATGCCTTCCTTGAAGTTAGTCGCCTTTCCCTCCCTTGTTACTTTTGAGGGTTTACAGATTAGGGCTTAGTGTTTAGGGTTTAGAGTTGTGTGTGCATTTGTGTTGTTTGTTCTTCCCTGTGCAGCCTTCGTCAGCGATTCGGTGGTTTGCTGCTGCTGCTGCAGCTGAGCGGCAGCAGCAGCTAAGCAGCACAGCAGCAGCAACAGCAGCAGCAGGTGCTGCTGTATCGTGTGGATTTCCTTCACAACTGCAGCAGCAACAGCAGCAGCAGCAGTCCAACTTGGAGGTGGTACAGCAAAAATGGCACGAAGCTGCCTGCGTGCTGTCAGCTGCAGCAGCAGCTGCTGCTGCTCCTGCTGCTGCTGCTGCTGCTGACCAAGAATCTGTTGCGCATGTTCTGCGTATCCTATCGGACGCTGCATGCAGCAGGCGGGATGCAGCGCAGCAGCAGCAGGAAGAGCTGCTGCTGCAGCAGCGGCAACTTCCACAGCAGCAGCAGCAGCAGTTTCCGTATCACCATATAGAGCATCAACAGCAGCAACAGCATCAACAGCAGCAGCAGCAGCAGCAGCAGCAGCTGAAGGGTGCAGGTCTATGGCTATATGATTGGGTCCTTAAGGGTCCGTCAGGTCGTCTCCTTAAGGAGGAAACAACAGCAGAGCTCCGGTGTCTCTCGCGCCTTACAACCCCGCAGCAGCAGCAGCAGCAGCAACAGCAGCAACAGCAGCAGCATCAACTGCAGCAACAGCAGCAGCAACAGCTGCAGCAAAAATTTGGGGGCAATTTTGTTCCTCCTGCTGCTGCTCCATCCGCTTCTTCAGTGTACCCGCCTCCACGCTATCTCCAGCAGCAGCAGCAGCAGCAGCAGTTCGATAGACCACCAGCAGCAGCAGCAGCAACAGCAGCAGCAACAGCACCAGGTAAGCACAAACTCTTAGTTGTAGTTTAGCGTGTATATGCAAAGGCTAGGGTTTAGGGTTTTGCTGTTCTTGTTTGCTGCTATCACGTATATCGTTCCCTGTATAGCCAGCCTCTAGGGTTTAGGGTTTAGGGTTTAGGGTTTAGGGTTTAGGGTTTGGGGTTTAGGGTTTGGGACGGCGATGCACGAATTAAAGAGGAGAAGATCTGCGGGTATTGAAGGAGCAGCAGAAGCAATGCAATTTATTAATGCTAATAAAACACAACAACAAATACAGGTTAGGGTTTAGGGTTTAGGGTTTAGGGTTTAGGGTTTGCTATACGATGCAGACAGGACCCTATTCGTACCGTTCGTACTCTTACGGTTGTTATTTTTACTGTTGCTGCTTCTTCTGCTGCTGCTGCTTCTGCTTCTGCTGCTGCTGCTGCTGTTTTTGCTGCAGTTACAGCAGCAAAGGCCGACAGATCCTGCAGACAAGGGGGACCTTGCGGAGCATTACGCTGTAAACCCTAAACCCTAAACCCTAAACCCTTGTTTTTTGTATCTATTTTGCTATAAATGTGTATAAGTGCATGAATTTCCTTTTTTATTTCTTTTTTTCTTTTATTTAATTAATTTAATTTATTTGCTTAATTTAATTCCTTTTTCCTTCTCTTTATTTAATTTATTTTTTTTTTTTTTTTTTTTTTTTTTTTTTTTTTTTTTTTTTTTT